ATGCACTAGTAGCAAGTAAAATGAATAAGGGACCAGGAGGATCTGTGCTGAAAATGAGAGATACAATTTGGGATGGGCAAAGACAATCAATGGTAATTGAACATGATTTTTTTGTTTTAGATAAAAAGTCAAACAAATCAATTAATCTTCTAGGGGAGCCTAAAGGAATTGAGTGGGTATTAAAGGAAAGAGGTCTGTGGCAAGAAAATATGGTGCTTGATTGTCAAGCATGTTCAAAGAAAGAACCAAATCCTGATAATATAGGTTGTTGTGCAAGGTGTTTAATTGCCAATCAACCAGATTTTCTTGCACAGAAGGGATTAATTCAACAAGAAATAGAATCAAGAGGACATAAGGTATAACTTATTATTTATTTATTAATTGGTTCTTTTTATTCCAAATTGACTAAAAGAAGTTTTACAATGAACAGATTATATTTTATCCAAAATTCCACCCAGAACTTAATTATATTGAAATGTTTTGGGGGACTGCAAAAAAGTTTACCTGTGAAAATTGTGAGTATACTTTAAGTTCATTAAAAACTAATTTACCAATTAGCATTTGATTCTATTTCAGTTAAACAGATTAGAGCATATGCTAGATTATCTTGGAGATGGATGGATGCTTACAGGCATGGATTATCTGGAAAAGCTGCAGAATATGCAGTAAAAAATAACAAATCATACAGAAGAATTAATGAATAGAATTAATGTTTTACTAAATTGATTAATTTTCTTAAATTTTACTGGCTAAACCTGTACACGTGATATATTTTAAAATCTCAAAATTTGCCACACCCCTTGTATCACTTGATGGTTTTTGCTGTTGTCCACTGTATGACAGTAGACATGTCGATCGCGTGAAATCTTGACTGATATGTTATTTGTTTATATTATAAAGTTGCTTACCAGAATAAATTTTTGAATAAAAAAGATAGAATTAAGTCGCATTTAAAAAAATGTGAAAATTTCAAAGCAATAGTAGGAGAGCAAAACATTAATAAAATTTTAGAAGAAATACTCAAAAAAGAGCATGTACAATTGAACCAAGTATTATTAAATGAACTCATTTTGTAATTTAAGAAATTAATTAATGATTTTTTTGTTTCTTTATTTTGTTTTTATCTCAGGTAATAACAATACATCTAATGCATCCACATCAATGTCAATATTGACCTCAAGTATAATTGGTACAGTCCAAAAAGTTTTCAGGCTTCAGGTCGGGTTCGGGTTTTTTGGAGCTTTGACCATGGATAATCAGCAAACCACTTAAAGTCGGCAGTTTTTCTAATATGTGATTCTTTAAATTCTTCTGTATTTTCAGAGGTTATAGCTTGATCAACTTATTAAGAGATTTTAAATATTGAAAAAAAGGGCTGAAAAATTCTGGCCGAGTTAGGCCAAATCCGACTTATCAAGAGACCGATTTATCGAGTTTACCTATGTAATAATAATAATAATAATAATCCCAATGATCCGTTATAGAGTGAATTATATTATGTTTTCCACGCTCTTTTGTGTCTTCAACACATTATTGTGCTTTTAAAAATTTTGTATAACGGATCGCATTTCATATTAATATTAATATGACCTATTACTATATATTAATTTCCTCCAACATTTCACTCATAGACAGATCGTCAATTAAGGATTTTATGTGATTTGGGCGTGATCGATTCACTAATACTAATAATAATAATTATTATTATTGATTTATTTGTTGCTAGAAACCCTTTTCCGTGGACACTCCCGTGTTTTACAACTCTTTATTGATAGCGTGAAATGTCATGCGACTGTTAATATTGAGGGCTATAATTATTTTATTTTCCCAAGAATAACAAGTGCATTAATTATTGCACCATCTTCTGATACCTCAGATTCAGTAACAGAATTTATCATTCAGATTTAAGACAAGGATATGAGGAGGAAACAAAAAACTTAGAAGCACGAGAAACATTACAACATGAGAAATTAATAAAATCAGGCTATCTTGCTAAAAAAACAAGAGAAGAAAGTCTGGGGAAAAGTAATTAAATTAACTGTTTAAAATCATTACATGTATATTTTTGGAATAAAAAATCTAAATATAATTATAATTATTAGAATTGGAAAAAGATGGTTTGTTTTAAGGTCAACTAAATTGGCATATTATAAAAGTGAAAAGGTCACTCCTCAACGTACATATTATGTTCAAGCAGAAAGTAAAAAAATGCTTGAAGCAATAAATAAGGTTAAAAAAGAAGTACAAGAAGAAGAATTATCAGATAAAGGAGGTCATGCAGATAGTGAATAAGTACCAAAAATTTTAAAAAGATCTTTGTCATAATCAAAAAGAGAGATAAAAAATATAAAAATTCAAATGCCTTCTTCACAATCACTGGTTTTAGATAAACCATTTGCTCTATCTCCTGTAAATAAATAGTAGCAATTAACATTCCAAATTCACAAAAGAAGCAACAACAAACATTTGATAATATAGAAGGACCACATTCCCATCTTTCTGGTTCATCCTACACTTCAGGAGGCTCTATTCCAAATGCATCATCATCATCACCATCAGCCCAATTGTAACGAATTTTTCTCTTGAAAGAAAAAATAGTAGTGATAGAACAGTTACTTCTGAGGAAGAAAATGATATGATGGATGCAACTAATGATGAAAATGATGAAATTAATGAAGGTGAGGAGTCCCAAATAATTCATCAAGGATATGTTTATAAATTAGATAGATACAAGGTACTAAAATTTTCATGTGCATTTATAGATATACATTTATATATATGTATAAATCATAACACATTTATATATGGATAATAATTATTATATTTATATTTATTTAGAAAATTTGGAGAAAAAGATGGTTTGAATTGAAAAATAATAAATTGATTTATTATAAAGATAAAAAAGTAAGCCAAAATATAAAATAGTTACAACAATTATTTTCATTTTGTATTTGATTGAATGATCAATTAATTATATTTTCATATGATCTTAAACCACATTTGAGTATAAATCTGAAATAGAACACCAAAATTACATTGTTTCAAAGTTATTACACCTGGAAGAACTTATATATGTTGTGCTCCGAATGATGAAACACAAGTTGCACGGTTAGCAGCTATACAAGTTGCTTTAAATAAAAGAAAAAAACAAAGATACAACAGCTGGACAGAATACAATTAAAAAAAAATTCCATTAATATTTTATTGGATTATAATTTGTTTGGTATTAGAGGGATTTGTATATTTTAATAATTAACTTTTTTATTAATAATAATAATATAATATAATATAATATAATGTGATAATTTTTTCAATTAACTCTTAAAAAGAAAATAGATTTATTTTTAAAATATAATATTTAAATTATGTTATAAATAATTTTACTAATTTTAATTAATAGTTTTTTTTCCTTTAATAAATAGTTAATATATTAATATAATAAATAATAAATAATTTAAAATAAATATATTGCAAGTGTATATATAATATTATATATATATGTATAAATATTATATTCTTCTATATAATATGTTCTATTTTAAAATCTTTTTTTTTAAATAAATTAAAAGCTTAAAAAATTATGTGGTTAATTAATTGTTTGGTTTGATCTTAAAAATAAGATACATATAAAATATATATAAAACATATTAAATTTCTTATAAAAATATAAATATTATTATGCATTTATGTAAAATTTTGTAAATGTAAAAAAATAAATAAATCTAATTATTATATAATTAAAGGAAATTAAGTAAAGTATAATTTTAACTCAATATGTTAATAAATATCAGTGTAATAATGATAGCAATTGTATTTAATTGTAATCATGATTGTATGATTTTTAATAATTGTTGTGGTTGGAAATGATAAAAAAAGAGAAATAGTAAGTAGTAGCAGTCTTGGTTATTATAAATAAAAATAAAATCATTTCCTCCTAATAAATCAACATCAACTTTTTAAAATTTATCTTTTACCACCTCTTCTCTTTTTACCGCCTTTTTTTGTAACTATTTTCCATTTTTTATTGAAATTTTTAATATCATTTTCCAATTTTGCTAAACCTTCTTCATACAATTTCATCTCTTTTCTGAGTTCAACTACTTTTCTAAAGTGTGGTGTGTATTTGACATAATAATAAAGTTCCACCATTTCAGGAACTTTCTTTTTCATTTTTTTTGATATCATTGAAAGATCTTTTCCATATTTAAAATAATTTAATAGAAATATTTTATATTCGGTTGATGACCATTTCTTAAAAACTTCTTCTTTAGATGGATTTATCGGCAAATTTAAATTATATGATAACAATGACAATGATGATGATGATAATAATGATAGTATCGAGGATGGTAAAGATGGTGGCGATGATGTGATTGTATATATATTATCATTATAAACATTACCATTTGATAGTTGCACACTTCTAGTTGTGGTCATTGGTTCCAATTCTGGTAAAATTGCAACACGATCTTTGTATTTTTCTAATAATAAATTCATTTGTTGTTCAACTGTAGGTTCTTCTTCTCTCTGTTTTTTTCTTGATCTTGTTTCTGGACCTAGAGAATCATGCTTTCCCAATGTACTTTGTTGAGTTTGTTGCAATTCTTGTAATTCTTTGAATTTTCTACTTGGTTTTGGAATTCTGGTTGATCGCCTAAGATTTCTTTCAGCTGTTGATAAAAGCAGTGCTTGAGGAGGAGGAAGAGAAGATTGAGAAGGAGAAGGTCGAGAAGAAGAAGGCGGAGGAAAAAAAGGACTTAAAGGTGGACTTGACATTGCACTACTGGAAACAGATAATGCAGGCGTTGATTGCGTGTTTTTAAAAGTAGGTAATAACATTATGTTTGGAATTTGCTCAACTATATTACTACTACTACTACTAATAATAATAATACTGTCATTATTATCATCATTGCTGTTACTACTATTATTACAATTATTATTGATGTTGTTACCAAAAAGCCCAGTTCTGGAACTATGAATCTCAATATTGAGAAGACCACTATTAATCTCAGTATCTATAAGATTAGCACAACCATTAAAGTCGTCATTATTGTAAGTAGATGTTGAATCAGTAGGTGTAAACTCGTCTAATGTCATTATTTCAAAGTTACAAAGTTAGGAATCGAGATAAAGGGTAGATGACAATCGGAAGTTAATGTTTTATTTATGTAGTATAGTTGATGTTATAACTGTTATTATAAGCTGTATAATGGTTAAACTAATAATGACTCTGGCGATCCTAGATAGAGTAGTATTTTTACTTAAAGCAGTAAGTAATATTGACAACCTTGACTATTGTTGATTATCTAATACTTTTCGCGTATCAATGTAAAATGGGAAATGGCACAGCTTGAAGGAAGGACCTATTTTTAATAAAATTTATGCCCCCAAAAAAATTTATACCTACAATTTACACCCTTGTTTTTTGGCTCTATCAACCCTTCTTTTCTTTATTAGATTTAGATTTATTATTATTAAATAAATTATCATCATCATCATTACTATAATTAATTAATTCATCTTCCTTCCTTAAAAGATCCAAAAAATATATTATAAATAAATCAGTCAAATTTAAAAAACTTTTTAATAAAAAATTCTTACCTCTCAGAATCACTTTTCATTATTCTCATAAAAAATTACTGTAGATAAAACCAAAGTATAAATAATTATTGTTTGTAAAAATCAGAATAAAATCAAGTCTTATAGCCATAAAAATAATGATGAGTTATTAACCAAAAATACCAGATGACAATATAGAAAAGTGAACATTTGTACTACACTGTGAGATAGTAAATCTTGGACCTATCAATTACCCGGTTAATATTGACCAATTAGAACGAACTTACTCGGAAGTCATGTGATACGATAAATATTATATTATTATTATTGTAACGGCTATGCCGCACATTGCGCAGTGTCATATGAAAGATTATTCCTATTCATATTTCTATATTTATATTTATTAACCTACTCATCTGATGTAAATATTTATTTAGAATTAGTAATTAGTTGATAAGCATATTATTGGAGAGTAGAGTAGCACACATCACATTATTTGTACTGCCCCAAGAGGTATAAATACAACTTGGCTTTAGACCAAGTTAAGAAGAATAATTAATAAAATCAATTGTTAATACAGTCAACCCTCCATAAGTGCACCCTCCATAAGTGCACCTCCTCCATAAATGCACCCTGTGTCCCAGTCCCAAGCTCGGGACTTAGAGATAAGGCACTCCCTCTATGTTCTGCACTGCACAGTCTTTTCCTGGTCCCATTTATATAAAACCACCCTCTCTAAGTGCACCCCCATGACTTTCACGTGACCACACTGCATTATAAAAAATTTAGTATTAGTAATTCCATGTTACATGTACACTAATAATGACATTTTATTAAAACATTGTAAGATAATAATAATTCAAGTAAAAAAAGAATTCTTTCTTTTATTACAACAAATGATTAATTCTTTCTTTTTAATAGATATAGAGAATTATTAGAATAATAGAGTAAGAATCCAGGAGACAAAGCTCTTACATTTTTTATAGTTGGGATTATTATATATAAAGGTAAAGGAGGGATCATAACAGATAAAATTAAGAATTTTACTTTAAAAAATAAAAATGCCCAGTTATTATATATCAATCTTCTAATCCATTATTATCAATAAATTAAATTAACATTATTGAATCATTGTTCACTGTAATTCATATTCTTTTATAACTCCCAAATAAAAATAATAAATGTCTTCAAGTAAAATAACTTTATCTGATACCCAAAAATATGAATTTTGCTTATTTGCTGCAAATAATAAATTGACCAGAAAAGAATATGTTGCATGGATTGAACAAAAATGGGGGTTACAGTTCATGAATCAACAATAACTAGAACTATACAAAAAAGTAGAAAAATACTTAGCACCAAAATTACCAATCTAGAAGCAAAAAGACATAAATCTGTGATTGTCCCTAAGCTCTTAAGGAATTTGTTTTAATTTACCAACACAAAGCAATCTTAAGTGATGCTATTTTAGTTGAAAAGGCCAAGCAAATTGCAACTGGGTTAGAAGTTTTTGAAGGAACATTGACATTTAATTTTTGTATTGTAATAATTTTATAAATAAAAATCTTTTTTTTTAATTTTTCATTAGTGTCACGTGCAACCAATAAAATACTTTTGTTCTATAAGTGCACCCCTCCATAAGTGCACGGTCTCGCCTGGTCCCAAGGGGGTGCACTTATGGAGGGTTGACTGTATATTAATATTTATTTAGAATTTTGCTTATAAATGCTATATTTTGTATATATACAAATTGACCAATAAAATTTGATTTTATGTGATAAATTAGTAATGATCAACAGCCAATGAAATCAATGTTTGATCAACAAACTTTTTTTCTTTACTTTTTAAACTTTTTAAAAAATAACCATGAAAATTTTAATACAAACTTGTATAATAAAACATTGATTTGTCTTAAAAGAATAATTAGATTATTGTTACTACATATATATATACATAACTAACAGGTGAAATTATTATTCATAACTATTTGTCAAGGAATCCAGACATAAAGATTTTATTAACACAAATTTTATCCTGAATCAATTCTTTAATTTTTCTGCTATCTTTTGTCCATTAAAAGAATTAACTAAAAAAGAGCAATGTCTTTGAGATTAAAGAATTTATCAAAAAGAAAACAAATTAATAATGTTGCAGAGGCAACAAGACCCAAGTAAGTGTTGTCATTCTAGTTTACTATTTAATTTACCATGCGATCCCCCCTACCCTTAAATAAATTAACTTTGATCATTCATGATGTTGATGCAAACGTGTAAGTATTATTGGAAAAATATTAATTAATTTATGTATTTGAGCACTTGGAATAAACTTTGTATTTACTTTTCAATTGATATAATAATTTAATTGAATCGTCACTTTTTTTAACAAGTGTAAGTAAATTAATTGTATTCTTTTTCAAATATACAAGACCAATCTTTTGTTTTTAGTAAATTTTGATTTTGATAATTTTCTTTAACCCCAAGCAGGAGGAGATTTCCGTGACAAGAAACAAGGCAATATATGAATTAGGAGAGTTTTACGGAATTGAGAGAGAGATGGTTGATAACGCAATTGCAGAAGAGGAGGAGGCAGTAGCTTCGATAGACATTGCATTAAATAATTTTATAGATATTTTGAGAGCATAGTGGACATTTGATTTCATTGGCTAAATTATGTGACGATCTCCCTTCCAGATATCACGCAAAAATTAAATTT